GAAAGCAGTCGAATCAGATAAGGTGGCTTGTCCATGCCTTATGTTCCACATATGATATCGCGATACAAAAGGATCATCAGCCGGAATCATCTCTGGCGTTCGTAAAGATCACGAACAAACTCTATTCGAGATAGGTAGTCGTCCCAGTGCTTTTCTGGACCGTCCGTTCCGGGTTCCGGTTTTTCCCCGAAATTAAACCGAATTAGGGTTAAATCACTTTATAAGAAGGAGATTAAGAACCCTAATAAAGTAGAGACCTTTTGGGAGCCGACTTTCATAGAATTCTAAGAGCTTTTGGTGAGATCCAAAGAGTTCAAGGAATTAAAAGTCTCGTTTTATCAAAGTGCACAAATCGAATAGAGATTCGAGTCCTAGCAGACAAGTTCCAACCGTTGGAATCCATCCCGAGGTGTGGATACGTGTAGAGGGTGAGGTAAACTTCCTCCCTAAGTGATCGGACGAATTCTTCAGTTGATACAGGCCCCGGATCGATTGAGGTAAGCGTTCTAACGTTTCTACGATTTCAATAGCAGCATGGTTCTAGGGTTTATTAAATTTTTGTTTTACATCCGCTGCGCAAACCCTAGAATCGATCTCTTAGGAATAGGATTCGCTCATGAGATCCCAGGAAACCCAACAGGACAAGCCACCTTATCTGATTCGACTGCTTTCTCGTTCACTGAGTTCGACTGTCTATAATAGACGACGTTCGTCTATAGTGCAGCAACACTTTTCTGCAGTCTCGCTCACACGAGGGGCCTAGTGATATCTCTCTCTTTTACGAGAGGTACAAATCCCGTCTTGACTATCTACAATCCAGTACATGATTCGTTTCGTACCTGATACACGCCTTTATAGTCCTCCTGTTACGCAGGACGTTTGACGTAATCAAAGTACACAACTCCTCATGTTGGATTCAGTAGATATCTCAGGTCTTAGGATCCAATCATGGAACCGTCATATGAGATTCAAGTCATGACGCTAGTCCATGTGACAATCTCATGCGGGTCAATCCAGTATTCCGTTCTCCAACGAATACCTATGATTGTGATCGTATCCAATACCTATGATCATCTATATGATCATCAATCACACATCATACTAGTCTTATTATGTCGTTATTCCCATAATGACACAAGACTAGGGAGTTTAGTATCATTCATAATGATACATAGATTTCATAACATATCTAGCATGCAAGAACATGTAATGAATAAAATACTCTCATAAAAACACATAGAAAGTATCAATACATCGAATGTATCTAAATAAAGCTCATAAACAGTACATCATAGAGCACTAAACCAAGAGGAAGTGAGATTCGATCGCCATGGACTTTGTAGTCGAATTACCCCTTACACCGATGAAGAAGAACGCCATTTGGGTAGTCGTGGATCGACTAACCAAATCTGCTCACTTCCTCCCTATACGCCAAGAGTATCTGATTGAGAGGTTGGCATGGATCTACATTGATGAGATTGTGAGACTACATGGGGTGCCGAGTGAGATCATCTCAGACCGAGATGCTCGGTTTACGTCACGCCTATGGAAGGCAATACAAGACGCGTTGGGGACGAAGCTGAAGATGAGTACAGCATATCATCCTCAGACAGATGGACAGTCGGAACGGACGATACAGACTTTGGAGGATATGCTTCGCGCATGTGTATTAGAATGGGGAGCGCCGTGGGATAAGTACATGACGGTGTGCGAGTTTGCATACAACAACAGTCACCATGCGAGTATTGGAGTACCACCGTATGAGGCATTATATGGGAGGCCATGCAAGACACCTTTGTGTTGGACAGAGATTGGGAGAGACGGGAATTCGGACCTGAGATTGTGGAAGAGACTACGGAAGTGATCTGAAAAATTCGAGTCAACCTGAAAACAGCACAGGATCGACAAAAAACATATGCCGACCAGAGGAGACGAGACTTCACCCTTGAAGTTGGAGATCAAGCATTCCTCCGAGTTCAGGCCATGCGAGGACACGCTAGGTTTGGACAGGGCGGGAAGCTGAAACCGCGATATATCGGACCCTATCCGGTGATTGGGAAGGTAGGCACAGTAGCATATCGACTCGGGTTGCCTTCAGAGCTGGGCAACATCCACGATGTATTCCATGTGTCGACGCTACGGAGATACGTAGCAGACCCTTCCCATGTGCTACAACCTCAGGAGTTAGAGTTCACGAATGCTACACATTTTCGAGACGAACCGCTACAGATAATGGACCGAAAGGTTAAGAAGCTGAGGACGAAGGAGGTGCCATTGGTGAAGGTATTGTGGAGAAGCCAAGGGGTCTCGGACATGACTTGGGAACCCGAAGAAGAGATGCGTAGCAACTATCCCTATCTTTTCACTTGATGTTGTACAACTCTTGTGTATGACGATGGATCGTATGGAACTCCTATCTGATGTATGACACTGCTGTAATGGAGGTGTTGGGTATTTTGCTATGAATACGAATGGATTGACGATATCATGTGATTCGAAATTCGGAGACAAATTCTCTTTAAGGGGGGAGGATTTGTAATAACCTGAATCCGATTTGGGATATTTAATTAAAATCGGAGAAGAATAATTAAATAAACGGGTACTAAACCTTAAGATAGGGACCACAAAGTGTTGGGAAAAGGCCCGGAAAACCACCTTGAGCGAACGAGACGAGAAAACGACAAAAAGAAGGAAAAAAAATAGGTCTAGACCGATCGGTCTAGCACGTAGACCGATCGGTCTGAGCCATAGCGAGACCGATCGGCAAAAAAAAAAAGTTTGGACCGACCGGTCCAGACGAAAGAAAATATCTGCCGAACTTGCAATATTGGACGCGACATGCATGCGTCAAAAGGAGTCTAATAGCCGCCTAACCCGACCCTAGCCGTAGTGGGAGACGTCAGCTCATTGCCCAACCCTTCCCTGTGCGCAAAAGCTCATCCTTCCTCTCTAAAAACTCCCCAGAAGAGGGCAAGTCAGCCATTGTTGTTCAAAAAAGTTGCAGAGGAAAGGAAGAGAGAAAAGAGAGGAGAGGAAGGGGAAGGAGAGGAAGGAACGGGGAAAGGAGCTCGTGGCCGCAAAGAGGACCAGCCTCAGAAGGTCTAGGAGGGTCGCCGTCATCGGATTCGCGGGAAAACGCCATGAACTCCGACCAAAACCAGAAACAGTTCTGGTTTGAGGTGAGTGGCTCGAGTTGCCTCTGTGTGAGCTCATTTTCATCATCGTTATGGGTGTTAATTCGATGAAACCTGGGCATGATTAGAAATTGGAAGTTGCAATGAACACATAGAAACAAACGGCACTCGATTTGGTGAAGAAACGAGCAAGATATGAAAGGTTGAAAATCGGAGAAAAACTGTAAAATTTCAGAGAAAAACGCAAAAGCATGTGGAGTCCGAAGCTTTTGGGCCATTACCCAGAAAATAGGTGTGATAATTGAAAGAATTGTTACTTGGAATCAAAAGGGGACATTTCAAGGAGCATGTAGAAACAAACGTCACTCAATTTGGATAAGAAACGAGCAAGTTATGAGCCAACGAAGTCGGACCAGAATCGGGGACGAGAATCGCGAAAACGCGATCTGTCTCCAGGGTCTAGACCGATCGGTCCAGGCTCTGGACCGACCAGTCCAGACCCTGAAAATGTCAGAACAGTCCGAAATTGCTTGGGCCGACCGGTCTAGACCCCGGGAAGGCCTGGACCGACCGGTGTAGACCCAAACAAACACCGAAAATGCTCGAAATGACCAGGTACGATCGGTCTAGACCCCGGGAACGCCCGAACCGACCGGTCTAAACTAGAATGTGATGAAATTGAGCCAAAAAGACCTCGGGATGAAATATCAACCTAGGAATCGACCCAACTATGTGAAGAACGAGGTGGGACACGACAAAAATGAAAAGGGGAAGAATTGGAATAAATTAATCAATTGAATGCGTGGTGAGATGTGCGACACATACTAAGACAATCGTTGTATATTGTTTGAGTTTTATTCTCCGATGGGTCACGAGAAGTGACGTGCGCGTGAAGCGCATTGATTGTTGCGCGAAGCAACGACCAACGTCATGAGATGTGACGGGCATGAGAGGCGCTCCTAGTCATGCGATGTGACTAGGGTTTACGGCTAACCCTATGGTGTGAAGCCATACTTGACTTGATTGTTGCGCGAAGCAACGGCCAACGTCATGAGATGTGACGGGCGTGAGAGGCGCTCCTAGTCATGCGATGTGACTAGGGTTTATGACTGACTCTATGGTACAAAGCCATACATACTTGATTGTCGTGAGATGCGACGACCAACGTCATGAGATGTGATGGGTGTGAGAGGCGCTCCTAGTCATGAGAAGTGACCAGGGTTTATGGCTAGCCCGATGCTGTGAAACCATACGGGAATTGATACGATGATGTTTTTATATGATATAAATATATGTTTAATATTGAATAATTATATTTGGTGTTTTATCATTTTAATACCGTTCTCGCTGGGAACGAGTTTACCGGATCCAACCCGGATCATTCACTAAGCAGTTGTGCTTAGCCCTCGTAGTTTTACCTTTTTCAAATCACGAGGAACACGAGTAGCACGTTTGGGGTGACGAAGACTTCGAAAAGACAGCATCGTGTACGGGGTTTTCCTTATTTGTATGACTTGAACTATGGATACGATTTCCATGTTTGTATGGTTGTACCTTTTCAATTCGAATATGTGTGTTTAAGACTTAAATGTTGTTTAATTCCGCTGCGTGTTTGATATTTAAAAAGTTTTAAAATTCCCATATTTTTGGTTTGTATTATTTTATTTTTTTTCGTCCATGTGGCATATCCTGTGACGGGAATTGGGATACGGGTGTCACAGGATCTCCGCGTCGGGAATGGAGCAAGAGTTGCTGCGTTGACCGTTGGGACTCATGATCTTACTTTACCTTCTGGACTTGTGTTGGAATTACATGATTGTTATTTTGTACTTGCCATTAGCAGGAATATTATTTCGATTTCATGTTTGGATTCTGATGGTTTTCGTTTTGTCATTGAGAACAAAATTTTATCCATTTATAGAGGCGCTTTATTTTATGGTAATGGTTACCTGTTTAATGGCCTTTATATTTTGGATGATAAACCGTCTGGACACAATTCGATCTATAACGTTAGTACCAAGCGGTTTAAGCCGAACGACTTAAACCCAACCTATCTCTGGCATAGTCGACTTGGTCACATCAAGGAGAAACGCATAGCGAAGCTTCATTCTGATGGACTTCTTGATTCTTTTGATTATGAATCAATCGAATCGTGCGATTCTTGTTTGATGGGCAAGATGACGAAATCTTCTTTTCCTAGAAAAGGAGAAAGGGCTACAGAGCTGCTAGAACTGATACATAGTGATGTATGCGGTCCTATGAGCTCACCCGCTAGAGGAGGTTATATGTACTTCGTTACGTTTACTGATGATTTCATTAGGTACGGTTATGTCTACTTGATGAGACATAAATCTGAAACACTTGAATTGTTCAAGATTTTTAGAAACGAGGTACAGAACCAACTTGGCAAGACGATAAAGTTGCTTCGATCTGATCGAGGTGGTGAGTATATGAGCCAAGAGTTCACTGACTATCTGGCAGATTGTGGGATTGTCTCACATCTGACTCCAACTAGAACGCCACAGTGGAATGGCGTGTCCGAGAGGAGGAACTGAACCTTATTAGATATGGTACAGTCTATGATGAGTCAAGTCGATCTTCCTAAATCCTTCTGGGGCTACGCTCTTGAAACGGTTGCGCTTATACTGAAAAACTGTCCAACAAAGTCGGTTCAGAAGACACTGATGCGCACGCACCGAGTTCTAAATTTGTAACCTGATTCGTACCACTATCCACAAGTATACGGTAGTTGTAGTACGGGGTCGATCACGAGGACTAGGTTGTATTAATCCATTCTTAAACTAGATCAAAGGTGATGGAAAATGTTGATTACAAAGTGTTTGTGAAAATGTAAATATGAAAAGAGGGTCGAGCAAGCAAGTGAAATTAACGAGTGTAAACGATGGTTTGAGGCGTTGTAGGTTTGGGACCCCTCATGAATCACATGGACGGTTAGTGATGCTAAAATGTCTTAGGGTTTGTCTTCCAATTGGGGGTTTCAAGCACTTCTTCTAGAGTTTGTCTCTCCCAAGCTTAAATTCACTACCTAGAGAATCGATTTACCCATCTTCCAATGATCTAAATGATCTCTAGATGCATTAATGTACCCTATCATGAACCCTAAGCAAGTTAAGCCATCTCCCAATGTGAGTAACTCACTCATTTGACATTTGGTTCCAAACATCATTTCCATATCCCTATGATCAATGTGTTCTATAGTCATATCAATTAGGGTTTCATCCAAATAAATAACACTAAGCACAAAACATCAAACCCATGGAAGAAAACTCAAAGACATCATAGATTAAGCTTAGGTGTCCATACAAAGTGGGGATCCCTCACCCACAACAAGGTCACTACTCCATAACTAGGGTTTCAAAACAGAAAGCAAAATGAAGAAACATGGAAAATGAGAAGAAATGCTCAAGATGGTCTTCAATGGTGGTCTTCTTCTTCTCCTAGCCTCCTTGATCTCCAAAATCCCCCTTTTCTCCTCCCCAAAGTGATTTTTCTCCCCAAGTGTGTAGTCCCCTTTCTCTCTCCTCAAATTCCCGTTTTATGAAAGTGCAGGAATTAGGTTTTCTCCTTAATTTTTGGGCTTTTCCTTTTTGGACCGGTTTTGATTTCAGGCGGTCGCTCACTGTTTGTTCAGGGTCGCCCATTTTTTCTTCAGGGTCGCTCATATTCTCGGAAACGGGCAGGTCGCTAATTTTTTGTTCAGGGTCACTCACTGTTTTTGTTCAGAGTCGCTCATTTTCCTTTGCACACTCGAAAACAGGCGACCGCCTATTAAAATGAGCGACCGCTCACACGCCGAGCGAACGCCCATAAAATGGGTAGGTCGCTCATTTTTTCTGAGCTTCCCGAGCCTTCTCGAACTCTTGTTCTTCCATGCCGCACTTCGTGAGGATTCATCGTGGAGTCTTCCTGCGAGGAAAAACAAGAAAAACAACCTACCCATGGCCATCTAACGTCCTATAATGCCTAGAATGTGAGAAGAATTGTAATGCATGACGTTAGAAAAACGGTGGAAAAACCGTGTGATCAAATCCCCCCAGGCTTGAGGTTTGCTCGTCCTCGAGTAAATGTGCAGTATAAAACTATCAAAGGGGTGATAAGATATAGTCGGAGCACAAATGGGGGTTTAGAGTGGGTTGGTTGTCCGGGTTAAAAATGCTGCGAATGAAATCGGGTTCGGTATACTCTATCTTTTCCAACATTCAAGCGAAAGCCTAT